TGCCACGCATTGTTCTTCAACCATTCTTCAAATTGCAACGTCTGGTCTGTTTTTTAAAATATATATACAGCTATTAAAAAAGGTAAAGTAGAGAAGGCGATTCATGGTTGTGCGACCAAATAGAACTGTGGGTAATAAATGTTTCTTCATATTCATTTCTTAAATACCTTAACAAAGCCTGTAACATTCAGCCAGCGAAGACCTTAATGGCTAGTTGACACGGGTGTTATTCGATTCTTGTTTTCGTGATAGTGTGATCACGGTTCCTTTTGGTTGCCATTCGCGCCTTCCATTATTTTTGAAATAGCTGTATGTATATTTTCCAGTTTTTCTATAGTTTTTCATTAAGTCTTATTTCTAATGGCTCATGGTCATTAGATTTGTTAAGGATATATATATATTTGTTTATTTATACATGGGATTTATTTTATTATTTTTTCTTTTATTTTAAGATTTATTTATTTTATTGAAGTATTTAATTATTTAGATTTAAGATTTATTTGCTTTGGTCTTTAAAATGTTTTAAAATCATGATCATATTTATATGGACCAGCACAATAGACCTATCCCGATTTCGCTTGACTGACCACGAAACAATGGTTGGAAGTCGAGACTGAACTTGACTCTTTTATTCATCAAGTTCAACCTCGACTTGAAACCATTGTTTCGTGACCAGTCAAGCGAATTTGGGATAGGTCTATTGCATACAATTATACAATAGAGTGCAAACAATATAACCGTGAAACTTTAGCAATACTAAATAGCACAATTTCATGCAAATCCCATTTATTTTCTATTGATTAATTAGCACTATTTTGTACTATTTAGTAACTAGTGTTTCACGGATTAATTGTTTCCACTCTATTATGCTCATCTTCTAGGGAAATTGCACAAAATAATGCACTAGTTAGTTAAAAACCACACCCAGAGACCCCCAGGACAAGGCGGGGAATTTAAAATCCACGTAGTGCTAAATTTAGCACTTTCCTATTGTCACCGGAGAAAGATTTAATGTCAAGCAATCATTGTAGTTGTTACTTTTAAAATTGTAAACTGCTGAAGTACTATACACATTAAATTCCCCTTATACACATGGATCCACGCTGTTAAATGCGTGTTAAATCCCTGGACTCGCTGCGTTAATTCCACTCTCCCCGGGGTCGTGCATAACTCAAAGAACTCATAACAATGTATTCATTATATTGGCGATTAAATTTCAATAAATATAGAGGTTTTGGCACTTTGCTAAATGTTTTTTTTGTTGTCTAAGGCCTGGGGCAAACGTCGAACTTTCCATGCACCGAACTTAATTACATCAAAGAATATCGCCTCATTATCACCTGATATCCATTGTTTTCAATGAGTTCGGTGCATGGAAAGTTGGAAACTGGGAATCGGTAAAAAATAGATACCCTTACGCTTTTAAAATGTTTAATCTCATAAAAAGGTTTACAAAAGTTGACTCTAAGATTTATTCCTATATAATATAATAATCCATTGCCATAGTCAATGTTTTTTGCCCGGCGCATGAGCGTCCGTTCATTCAACATTACTTGGGGGAGAGGGGGTTAATGAGAAAAGTTGCTTCCTAAAGCAGTTGGTTTCCTGTTTCAAGGGCACTAGGTAAACTAAAGTGGTTTGATTCATGAGTTTTTTCCGATTATTTAAAGTGCTTATAAGCCTTTACACAATATTTTCAGAATTGATTCTTTAAATAGTGAATAGTTGATTGTGAAAATAATTCGTCATTTGAACGTCGGGTCTTTGAGATACGAAGGTTTATGTTTCCAATATGTTAATGAATATGACGTAACATAAGGGATTTGAGTTATTTTGTGGCAATTTTTAATATTGAACGCTGGACGTTTTTTGAAAACAAATTTGTAAGAACCTTTACGTGGGTCACGAGTAAAAGGGGGATGCTTTTAAAATACTCTATTCTAGAACGAGTGCAGTGCTGTATATTAAATGATCCCTTATGTTACGTCATGGCCATTAACATATTGGGAATATAAACCTTCGCATCTCAAAGACACGCCATTCAAATGACGAAATATTTTCACAAAAGAAGGTTATAGGTACCTGTAATGGTATTGAAGGTTAATTGGATTAACAGTATTATTTTTGGCAGTGGAGTATCAATGATGTAACGAGCATCGCGCGGTCGCGTCGTGGTTGTTGGTACGTACAGAGCCAAGTAGGGTCCTTAAAAACTCCGGCGTTGCGCAAAGTGATCTTGTGAGCATTTACTGCTCACTTATCCAATCAATAATCCAGTACGCTGCGCCCGTCTGGGCATCCTTGCCTGTCTGTCTGTCCAACCTAGTTGAGTCTATCGAGCGTAAGGCCCTGGACATTATTTTCATTAACACCAGTTTTAGAGATGCCGTAAAGTTATCAGACTTTAAAGTCCTAGAAGCGCGGCGAGCAGACATTTGTCAAGCATTAATAAGTAATGTTAAGGAATCTGGTACAGAGTTATTGCGGTCGATAGGCACTGCTACAATTAGAGGTAAGGGGACAGTTACACTAATGTAGCCCCGATCAACACCGATAGGTTCAGGAACTTCGGTTACCAACAGATACAGATCAACGTGAACTCAATTTCTTATGTGTTAATTATATGTATAATTAATTATCATAGCGCTATGCTCCTGTTATTATTGTTAGTATATTCTCGCTGACCCCCACCGTAATGCAGTCCCTACTGCAAATGTAGCGAAATAACCGAAAATAGAAAACGCTATTTATAGGATATGGCTATGGATACCGCAAATTTAAGGCTCACTACTAAAAGTAATTCGACATACAGTGGAACCCCGTTAATCCGGCCACCGAAGGGACATTCCAAAGTGGCCGTATTAACGGGGTGGCCGTACTAAGCGGGCTGTCAAAAATATGTTAAAAGCCTGTTTTATTAATCAGTACGTAACTACTAAACAAATTAAGTGCAATAATGCATATTGTATTTTTAAATAAAGTTTCTAAAACCTCTGATGCTATTGGAGCTCAGTTATAACTACTTTAGTAGTACTTAAAAACTTTAAATTATACAGTAGTACAGGACTGTAGATATAACAGTAGAACAGAGAAAACTGAGTACAGAAACCACTACGTTTTAAAATAGGCAGTGACTTTGCTCTGTACAGACGAATGAAGCTTCTTTTGAAGCCATACTGACTCGAGGCTGGATATCACCCCAGACAGGCTATCGGCATGGCTCGTTTTAATACTGTACCGCTATAAAATAAATGCGGACATACTTTAGCGCATCGCGCTGTACGTGTTTCTCTGTTTGAAGTTGATATGTTGATTCTGATTCTACAAAAAGCATTACTGTAGAATGTTAACCGAATGAATAAAACAATTACAGATTTTGCAGCAATAACTTATTTACAGTATTCACATTAAGATCTAAACTGTAACCTATTTGTCCTGGCCGTAATACGGGGTTAAAAAGTAAGGAAGTTTGTCAATCGGGCCATAAAAAAGTGGCCGTATTAAGCGGGTACATTTTACAGTAAAAGTATGGGCATTTCGTCGGGACCCAAAAGAGCTGACCGCAATAACGGGGTGGCCGTATTAAGCGGGTGGCCGTAAGGCGGGATTCCACTGTACTGATAAATGAAACGCTAGTAAATATAGCGCAAAATTATATGTCTGGCCCTGAAGGTGTAACTGCACGATTGCTTCGTGGGACGGCTCCTTCAATTTCAACCTCACTTTCATGCCTGTTCAATATGTCTCTCAACAGAGGAAAGTTACCATGCGACTGGAAGCGTGCCAATATTACTCCAGTGTTTAAAAAAGGCGAGAAGGAACTTTTCACTAATTATCGACCAATTTCTCTCACTGCTTAGTCAATATCAATATGGGTTCCGAGCTGGCCTTCCGTTTACATACCAACTTATTCACTTATTTTACACATGGGCGTCAGCTCTGGACAAGGGCAAAACATCAGATGTTGTCTTTTTGGATTTCGAGAAAGCTTTTGACTCTGTTCCGCATGTTCATCTCCTCTCAAAGCTACAGCAATTTGGGATTCTTGGTCAAATTCTTGAATGGCTGAGTGACTTCTTACATGAACGATACCAGCGTGTTGTATTAGAGGGTGAAAGTTCGAACTGGACTAAGGTTTCTTCTGGAGTGCCTCAGGGAAGTATTGTCGGACCGATGCTGTTTTTTTTGTACGTGAATAATATACCAGAGAATCTAACATGTGCCAGTGAAATGTTTGCCGACGACACACTATTATTCAACTCTAGCAGACCATCTGATGTCTCCCACCCTATCCAAGAAAGTTTATCGCGTATCTCTGCTTGTTGCAACAAATGGCTTCTGAAAATTAATGCCGAGAAATGCGAATGTATGCAAACCACCAGAGCTAAAATACCAACATCTTGCTCCTGCAACATAAACACCACATCACTTAATCAAGTTCATACCCATAAACACCTTGGAGTCACACTATCAACTGATTTATCTTGGAAAAGTCATGTACCAACCGCTGCTGCTAAAACTAGCAAAATTCTTGGTCTATTGAAGCGTACTTTTGGGAAATGTTCAGAGGCAATAGTATTTTATCCTGACTGCATACTCATTACCGAGTCACGGGAATTAAGGTATGGAAGGTAACCGCGACTGCTGGCAATGAGCATGCGAAAAGCATGCGATTCGTCGTCAACCACCACCAGGGGAGGTGGGTGGGTGAATCTTCTACTCTCTCCTTAAGCAGCTTTCGACGGAATAATTCAAGGATCTGGGTGTGGCGCTTATATATGGAGGGGTCGCAAAGCATTACACCCGCACTGCGCAAACTCCAATGTCCATAAATGGGGGTTGCTAAATTCCTACGTGACACGCTAATTATGTATGCAGTGCGAATAATAACTTGTTATAAATCTATGGTACGTCCAATCATAGAGTATGCTTGCCCTGTGTGGARTCCTCACAAACAATACGTCTTAGCTGATAAACTAGAAAGAATTCAAAGGAATGTCTCAAGATGGATTTTAGAAGAAGATTATTCTGCACCTTCAAACAATGCATTTACAAAATTGTATGGGAAAAAAGCAAGCTATAGTAAACATATGTATTTATATGATTGAATTAAAGAAGGCAAAGAATTAGCTGAAAATCAAAAAATTAAATAAAATTATTGGAGTAACAAGTGTTTTTTTTAGCTGCTTCTCGAAAATTGAATGTTATGTATTAGTTTTAACATCAGTTGGGATCAATCCAGCTGGTGACCGCTGCATATTTATCTCCGAATTTACCATAATTTGGATTTTTACGAGGCAGGTATAGGTTCTTATTCTTGGAGTGCAACCACGTAACCAAAAAATCCCTTGAGATATGAATAACAATGAAACAGCCGCCACGTTGGTTGACCTAACAAGAGAAGCTTAATGAAGAATGTTTTGTATAGTCAACATGGCGGCTATGACGTAACATGCACCCCAAGAATTCGATTTTGAACGCGTACTATAATTATGAATCAAATCCATATCTTTAAAAAATGTGAAAAAAATCTGGTAAGTGGGAGTTTGATTATTTGTAGGCAAGGTCACAGGGCTGGGACTTTAGTTACTTCAAAGATATTTAGGATATCGAGTCTTTTATATAGTGGTCCGCTAGGTGTTCTATAGCTTGAGAACTCGATTACACGGAGGGCTCGTCTCCCCGAACGGGTAAGACCCTTGCAATTTGTATATACTACCCCACATCAGGGTACCATAGGAAATATACGAGTATATGATGCTATAATAAAGGTTTTTCAGTGTATCAAGAAAGAGATAATGTCTACATTTATATAGAATTCCAATCATTGGGCTATCTTGCTTGTCACAAAAGCGATATGCTGTTCTAGAAATCTCTTTTGCCCTTATCTCTTAGTTTTTGAAACAGAGGGCAACCAAGACCAAACAGCCTAGCATCATAAAAAGGGAGTGAACCTCCACCCGGTTAGCTTCGTTGGTAAGAGCGTCGGTCTATTGTGCGGAAGGTCGTGGTTCAAACCTCGGCCGGACCAACACTCAGGGTCTTAAAATAACTGAGGAGAAGGTGCTGCCTTCGTACTTTAAGCCATATGATTGCGCTTTCTGACCACTCTCGTGGGAATGGAAATGCTTATTCATTTGCTGTCAGTGAATTAATCAGCTCATGATTACTGAACTGCAAAGAGCCTACTGAATTGATATTCATTTGCTGCATGTCTTGTCATCCCTATTTCTCTTCTCCTAGCCACCATTGTGTGGTAGAATTTTGTGTCGCGGTACATGTCGAACGCGGGTTTATAACGAAATAAGCCCCAAAATTATCTTCACTTTTAACACTCTCTGGTATACTGAAAGAACAGCGATTCCCAGTTGGATCAATCGCGAAATGGCAAGTACCCTGGAGGTGCCAAACAGGTGCTGTGGTATTGTAAAAGTCATATCCTCGGATGTTGATGTGAGCAAACTTGATACAGTGCCCTTTCATCTGGTTGTTATTGATGAAGTCACATTCACTCAGATAGCCAAGAAGAAAGTCAGGGGTTAGAGATTCCCTTTTTGGGAAGTCACAGGTCGCTCTGAACATCGTTGACCTTGGTCGTAAATGATATAGAATTGCGTTCTTCTGTAAGCGATAATCGTTCCAATTTGGTGGGAAGTCGTTATTTCTGAAGAAATTTGTAAGAAAGTCCTTCTTGGCATAAAGCCCTTTATTAGCGAGAGCGAAGGACTCAATCAGTGTCCAGGCTTTGTTGGCTCCCTCGAAGGCGCAATAGAATGATTGGAAAGCTAAGTTGTCACTGCGGGCAATACGATATGCACCATTTCTAGGCATTTTTCCTGCAGAAGTGTAGGCATTAAGGACATCCATACAAGAATTGTAAGGTCGCATTTTTTCGCACACTTTTCCATAGTAATATGAATTGCACGTGCAGCTGAACTTTTCTTTTGAGTTAACACAGTGCTCTACACAGGTTCCCCCGTTATGGCAAGGCTGGTTTCTACAACAGCCATTATAACATACATCTGCAGGCTGGACCATGTGGGATTGCTGAAGAAAAGGAATAAGAAAACAGTTATAAGTTGCAATTAATAGACAACATTTCTAGTCCTACGAATGGCAAGTTTTCAATAGAAATGTACATGGATGATTGAGCAGTGTTTTGCCTGTCATTGTAGGCTGATAATAAGATCCATGAGATTCATTCAGTTGATATTTGTATGCACCAAGCAATAGGATACTCTCTGGTTGGTAGTACATGACGTGCAATGGTTTTCCTGTAATCGTGATTTATTGAGCTAATTGATACTGAACAAAGCAAAAAAAGAAAAAAAACCTTTATGGATGATAGCACATGACGTGCAGTGTTTGTCTGTCATATTCTAGGCCGATAATGAAGTTTACGAGAATCATTTATAAAATAAATAAGATAGTACGCACGCTCTGGTTGGCTGATAACGACATTTGCATGAGGCTGTGTAAACACGGTTGTGACGTCAGAGGTTTGGGGGATTTTTGAAATTTGTCAAAATATTTCTTTTTTACTTATTTTCTTGTTCTTAAGAGTAGGTCTCTGTAAGACTCAAGCAAAGTGGGAAATGAAATTTTTTGACCACCCTTGAAATTTGGTGTGTGAGTAGGCCTTTATATGGGATTCACAAAAACAACAACAATTTGGTCACCAAATGTATTGTTGCCATGGAAACGGCAAGTGTTTTATGAGACCTTAATTGCCAATTTTTGGAATAAATTAAACCCACTCGAAGGTAAAATTCAATGCTGTGTTTCTCATACATGTTAAACTTAATTTCCTTAAAACTTTCGTCAATTATAAAGTATCTATTCTAGTTTAGAAAAATAC